TGCGCCAGTAAACTTCGCTTCTACAATCAAGGAAAGTGTATGAGAGAATCGTATTTGGCACGTTGCTAATTTTACCATATGCATCAGTTCGACTTGTTGCTGCTGGTCCAATTGAGTATCTTCTGATGGAGGGATGAATACGTTGTCATTGACAAATGACTGCATTTTCAAGATGAATTCCTATAGCATGTAAATATAGAAAAAATAAAAGGAAACACGATAAAGTGAACTAACATTATCCAGGCGAACAATCAGTGGTTCAAGGTGAGCTCCATGAGATTTTAACTCTTCATTGAACATTATAAGCAGATCGTTGAGGCATTGGAACGCCTAGAACAGATGACAAAATACTCTGGAACACAGCAATGGATTTTAATTACCAGCTCTACACCCGATGCACCCTCGCTAAGAATGATGTTAACATCATGAAGGAATTGATCACGGCGTTTTTTAAGCTTCTTCACGGCTTCCTGGAAACAATATGCGATTTTGCGGTCCGCGGATAAGGGAGTCAACGAACTCACCGTTTTATTTGGTTCTTGATCTCGCACAAGTCGAAGAAGATCCCAATTCAACTGTATGAATAAGAACCAAATAGATTTGTCGATAACATCCCGTGGTGCTTTGTCGTCGTGGTTGTTCAAAACAAGTAGGACGACATCCCAAAGATCCCATTTTTTGAGATCAATATGACTGAAATTGTAATCGATGACAATAAATACTATTTTATGAAAGTTTCACCCGTTGACTGTGATGCTATAGCTTAGGCATACGCGAAATCGTGAGATACTTTAAGAAACTTTTAAGTGACTCTCTAAGCCAATAAAAAGTATTGTTTGCTATCTAGTCTCTCCTTATAGCAACATATCACACATCCTAAACCAGTATAGGAGGGCATCCCAAAGATCCCACTTACGAAAGACGCTTCTTATTCAATTGAACCTTATGAGTCGCTTACCTTGCAAATGCGGTAACCTTGCGGAAAGCAGCCAACATTGCAGCTTCATCCTCTTCATCCCATTGTTCTTCATTCATGCATCTCTGCACAGTGTGCCGCAGTTGTAG